CCCCCCCCCTCCACTCCAGGATGAGGAGCGGGACTCTCCCGATCCGACACTCAGGGTGATGATCTTCCGCACCACCGCCGCAGCCCACACGCAGTCCTAGGCGCGCAGGCTGGTGCTGACCGGGGGGAGGAGGTCGACGGTCGACGGCTCGAATGTTGAGGGGATGGGAGTAACAAAGTATGTAAAGTACACTCGGAGTACAACCGGGGTGCATTCGGAGCACGCCGGACTGGTGGTATGTGGGATGAGTGGGCGTTGCAGCTTGAAGCTGGCACCGTGCACGTTCTTAGCCGTTTTCGACGCTAGCCTTAATGGCACTAATTCTACAAATAGGACGGTTCGAAAGCACTAATTGAGCACTAAAAGATGAGCTGTAGCACTAGTTTCTCTAGCCTGAGTGGGCGGTGCCAGCTTCACGCATTCTGAATCGTTTTTTTAGACGCTAGCCTTGGTAGCACTAATTCTAGAAATAGGACAGTTCGAAAGCACTAATTGAGCACTAAAAGATGAGAGGTGGCACTAATTTTCATCGGCTATGGGCGGTGCCAACTTCACGGAGGTGAGGTGACCCGTCGCCGCGGGCGCCCGTCAGGGCCCGGGTAGGCTCTCCCGGCGGGCGCGGGCGCGCGGCGGGACTGCGGGCCTCCACGGCGCTAGCGCGCTCGCGCCGCCGACACTCACAACGCGCGACGCAAAGTATACACACTTTGCCAAAAGAATACGTTTGCGAGGAAAATAAAATAAAAATAAAAAACTTCTTGCCGACGAACATTCTTTTTAAGTACAGAAAGAGTAGCCAGCGCTTTCAGCTCCCACCGTCATCCAACAAGGAGACAACACTGAAATCCGGTTTACTGAGATACTGAATTTTTGTGATGATTGACCATGCTAGTAGGAGTAGGCATGTCGCGAAATGAAATGCAATAAAAAGTAAAGAAAGTAAATCATATTGCAACAAGGACAATGCGAAAAGTTTATTTTACTTATTTGCAATAGAAGGTTCTTACGCCATTTAGCATCGTAATCGCAAAACATAGTCGTCAAAACATTTTACTTAAAAATTATCGCAAAAGAAGTCTCAGTGTAAACCGGGAGTGTTTTGCTTTGCGACGCAGGCTGATTAGTGCCAGGAAACCCCATTAGGCCTTTTCCTCCTTGCTCTGGTTACGTACTTCCTTGGTGCAGGTCTAACCACCCGTGTCCCCCTTTTCGGCGAATCCCGCAATCCCGCCACGACTTCTACGGATTCCGTGGTTCCAGCCGTGTAGAAATTTTGCATCATAGACCTGCAGAGACTTGGAGAGGGGAGAACTGCAGAGAGAGCGGGAACACGG